TACACATAGATACACATAGACACACATAGATACACATAGATACACATAGATACACATAGATACACATAGATACACATAGACTCACATAGATACACATAGACACATACATGGACACACATAGATATATACATGTATAGAAAACTGGACAAGGATTGGATAGAGATTGGATAGAGATAGAGACAGAGATACCAGTACAGTAGAAACAAATAGAAATAGAGATAGAGATAGGGTTAGGGACATAGACAGAGATAAATAGAGGTATATATGAACAACTACTACAGTAATACATGTATAAATAGATTGATAAATTTATATATTGACTGACAGATTGATAGATTTGGGGATATAGTGTAGGTAGACACATCGATAGACATTGCATTATATATATAAATGTACATAGATACTAAGGGTATAACTGTATACATACATATCTAATATGTGTATATACATATATGTATAGATGATCAACCTTCGCACTCTCCCATTTTGATTGCGGTTCAGACCCATTTTGTCAATTCAACAGCTTGAGAATAGTCAAACAACAGAGTTTTAGATGTCTAGAGGTTCCACCCCCTTCTTATGGGTCCAGACCTTCGAATCCGGCCCCCCCCAGATACGAGATTCTGCCCGTGCCCTCTGGAGCTCCCGCCACACCGAGAGACATCCAGACCGCGACACAAGACAATCTAAAAATCTCAAAAACACCTTAAATCAAAGCGAAAAAAGGTCATATGGGGGCCCCCCTCCCTTCGATTTTTCACGCTTGCGCTTTAATCCAGCGCTTGGGAGGGGGGGTGGGGCTAAAAGCCAGAGCTGCGAAAGCCACATGGGTGGTCTCATGTTTAGACCCGAAAACGTAAGTACAAACATTCGCACCTCCCATTTTGACTTTGCGTTGCAGACCACTTTTGTCAATTCAAACAGTTGGAGAAATAGTCAAAAAACAGATTTTTAGATGTCTAAGAAGGTTCCACCCCCTTCTTATGGGTCCAGAACTTCGAATCCGGCCACCCCCAGATACGAGATTCTGCCCGTGCCCTCTGGAGCTCCCGCCACACCGAGAGACATCCAGACCGCGACACAAGACAATCTAAAAATCTCAAAAACACCTTAAATCAAAGCGAAAAAAGGTCATATGGGGGCCCCCCTCCCTTCGATTTTTCACGCTTGCGCTTTAATCCACGTCCCCCAGTCCTGCTCGGGCACCGAGCGTGCTCAAGCGATGGCTGGGAACAAAAACGAGTATAAAGTGGGTGAAACGGGCGGAGGAGGGTTTTGGGGATCTGAATTTCTGTTAACATGGCCAAACCTGAATTGAGATAGACTTTGGCAGTCTTGATTGCCGTCCAGCGGCCTGCCAAAAGCACGCGGTCCAGAGACCCACATTTAACGAATAAATGGGTTGCGCCGCCTCTTCGAAGCGAATAAGGTCTAAATTCCCACTGAGACAACTTGAGTTTGTTGATACAGTCAGCAAACAAAGACCTCCATACGTGAGGTTTCTCAGTTAGAAAGGAATGGGATGGGACTCTTTGCTTCCATACCCACAACAGACGGACCACTGACAATTCAGTTATGGTGATGCTTTCAGCAGCACCTTGTCTCTTACCCGTTTTGGTAAGTCCCAAATTGATCACGGCAGGTTGGGATTCCGAAATAACATGGATTTGCCAAGCTTGCAAACTCAAAAGTTCTCCTGTCCGAAGAAGTCCATAAAAGGCTACCAGAAGGCTGAGTCCAAAAGAGAAGTGATCACGGAGGGAGGCCCATCCAACCATAGCCTTAAGTACATCTTCAGTGAGGGGCGGAGCGCGCGTCGGCGTTTCGTGAATTGCCCAAGTCTTGAGTAACCGCCAAGACCCTGGAAGGCAATTTTTTAATTTTGGGTCATAATCCTGGAGCCCGGCCATGAAGGTGCTAGCTGTGGCGCGTCCTTCCCCTTCTGACCATAGAAACTCTAAATAGTCTGACACCAAGTCATCCATAGCTTCTCTCTTTTTAGGAAGTTGAAGATTCTCCTTTTTCAGAAAAGCGAAGAAAGATGTCAAACTGGCCCTGTAGCGTTCTTTGGTCTTGGGTTGTACTGTAAGATCCTTTAGCTTCCCCAGTCCTTTGCGAAATTGCTTCCTACTTTCCTTAGTGCGGCCTTCTTTGAGAGTCTTCACTTTTTTAACCATGGTTTGCGTATTCCCCAGCGGGACGGTTTGTCCGCCGGGTTCTGCTTTGTATCGATATACCCCCAAAGGGGTTGAAGGCCGCTGGCAAGAAGGTGAGCACTGATTCGCATGACTGTTCTACGCATCTTCCGGGACGAGGATCTTCCTCTGGTGAGGGAGTGGAGGACGACTAGGCTATCAACCAGATGCAAACATCTAGTATTCACCTGTCTTTTTTGCA